GCGCGATGTGCGCCGCGTCCCATTCCTGCCACGTGTTCGCATCGTCGACGACAAGAAAGACGATGTTGAGAAGAAAAACGGCCACTTTGTATTGATTTTTTACAGTCCGGATGGGATGTCCCGGATTGGGTCGCTATCGGCCGGAATACGAGGTAGGTGGAGGTATATAATAATAAGGAACAAGGATGTGGCCCCCTAGCGGAGCTGGAATCGGACAAGATAGGGCGGGCCAGGATGCGGATGCGCAGCGGCCACTTCGGTTCGTCAGAACATCGGGACCTCGGTTCGTGAGCATCAAGCCGCATCGGAAGAGGTCAGCCAAAATCGATATCGGATCGGATCGATCGAATCGAGAGGGGCCTGCCTCATGGAAGGGCGGATCGAAGGGCTGCCAATAGCCGTCGTGGTGCTGGTACATCCCGCCAGGCCCTCGTTGGACAGCCCGCGCGCCCCGGACCCACGGCTGCATTCCCCAGATGGCCAGAGGAACAAACATAAGAATAAACATAAACTCTCGGAGGTCGGCACAGAAGTCTTGGATCGGCGCTGGGCCACCATGGCGGCGCCTCTAGCGCCGCCACTTGCGCGCTCCGCGCGCCAGTGAGGAAGGGCCCAACGACGATCAAGGAGACCGCGCGGACATCTGTCAGTTGTTTGTCTATGCTGACTTTTCTCCTCCAGATAGCACTGACGCTCTTCTCCAGGCCAGCCATGGACAGCAGGTTCAACACGGCGATGACCCCCGCGGCGTTGCGCGTCAGGATGGCCACGGTCCTGTCCTGGGCCAGATCCTGCAGCAGCCGCTGCAGCTTCACTGCGCGGCGCCCCGACACCCAGGGCGATTCGAAATTGTACTCGACTAAGCTGGAACGGGTCCAGTCGGAAGAGGACGATGGTCGAAGAACCAAAAACTGCATAGACAGAAACTGTCGAAACTCCGCTCGGATTCCTGGGATCGGCGCTGATCCCCCTAACCGGCGCGCGAAGCGCGTCAGGGCCAGCACCGACACTGGGCCCCGACGCCGAACCGAGGAATCCCGCGCGAAACTCCGAGAATCTATGCTCATGCCGCTGTCTCTTCTTCGGGAGGGGCACCACCCCACCTCCTCCCGGAAGCCGCGCTCCTGCGGCATGAAGGTCGCAATGGTCAGCGTCTCGTCGAAGTCGAACACAACGATCTCCACGGGCACCCGCTCGTTGTCCTCAATGCCCTGCTCATAGCACGCCACCTGCAGGGTCTCGCTGTACAGCCAAGGCTCCTCCACGAACCTCTTCAGCGTCCTGTAGTCCAGCTCGCTGTGGGCGCCGATGCCGCCCATGTTCTTGCAGACGCCCATGTTGCTGTACGGCGCGTCGTACCGGGCGACCTTGCCGTATCTCAGCACCTGGGCCCCCGAGGCGCTCTGAAAGTTTGCCCGCTGGTCGTCCACCAGCACGAACTCCTCGAGCTTCAGCGTGCTGCCGACGCCGCTTCCGAAGAGCTCTCTCAACCTTTGAGCGTCGTTCAACCTATCCCAGTGAAACCCGCGGGCGTGGCTTTGGCACCACTGGCAGGCCAGCCCAGCTAGGTGGGGATACATGGTAACTCCTTCGGGCTTCGCGGAGCCTGTCCCCACCTCGGAGGGTGGGCTGATGGGGTTGAGATACCATGTCCCAATCGAAGGCAACGATAAGGGGGGGATGGGCATAGGCGGGATGCATCGACCTGGAATCGGCGGTACATCGTCGAGAGATCGGCGATAGGCCCCGGATAGTGAATCCGCACCTGCCTGGGCGGGGTGGAGCTATCCAGTCCCTATCGGCGATCAGTGGACGATTGGGGGTCGATGCATCCCCCCCTATGCCTGTCCCCCCCCTATCGTTGCCCCCGACCAATGGGGATGGGGATACGTTGGACGATGCCGAACCTCGGGGGCCTCCGGCCGTTGGCCGCCTGCGGGAACCACTGGACGGGGTGGTCAGCCATGTGCTGCAGCACGTCAGCCTTGTGGTCCGGCACGTCGAGGATGGGCGGGTCGAACATCAACCACGACCCTCTCCTGTCCCGGTACGCGCCGTGCCGGTTCCCAGCTCGGTAAGGGATGCTCCACACCGCGCTAAAGTGGTCCGCCAGGCCGGCCAACTTGAGAATGGTCAGCACCGCCCTGACACCCATATTGTTCCGAGTCAGGACAGCGATGCACCTCGGCTGTCCGTCTACGGAGGTGGCGATGTCCTTCAACATGCGCCTCAGGTAGGCCAGCCGGCTGCCGTCAACCCAGGGAGACTCGAAGTTGAGCCTGATGTACTTCTCCTGAGTCGCGGGGGGGTCGGTCTCGCGGACGTCGTAGGTCAGCAGCGTCAGGCACTCGTCGAAGTCGAAGACCACCAACCGCACCGGTGCGAACCTGTCGATGCCGGGAGCTTGCCTCTGGGTGCACCGCATGCGGAACATCGCTTTGGTGTTGGACCGCTGGCGCCGCGCCTTCCGCGCGCCAGCGCTGCTGCTGGCGCCCGCCATCGCTTGAGGGGGCTGCCAACGGTGCGAGTGGCGGGCGCGGGGGCGTCCTCCGTCGTGCGCCGCCCTGCGGAGACTCGGCTGGCGGGGGTGGGGCGGCCGCGAGCGCGGTCAGCACGCGTAGCGGGATCGCGCTCTTGAGTCAAAATGGCCACGGACTACGCTGTTCTGCTCATGACACTTCCAAGTCCTCACGGACGCATGACACAGCGACAGCAGGGGTTCGCTGCCGACCCTCAGCTTAAAATGAGTTGCTTCGGGCGTTCCCCGCGTGGCTCCGAAGTCGGTCGCGAGTGTGGTTTCACAGTGATCTGATACATGATGGATGTGGAATGGCCGTTGCACATGATCTGTACGATTGGCACTCGCGCCCGTTGGATATGGTAATGTGTTTGCCCGTTCGCCACATATTTGCGATGTGTCGACTGCCATTACTCAGGCTCGGTTTGCGATCCTTCGTGGCCGCGTGGTATTCCTGTGATGCCGCTGGTGTATAGGGTTGCTGCGTTGATTTGTTTGGAGTGAGTTCCTTGTGTAGGCTACAAGCGTGCGTTCTTCAGGTGTAATCGGGCCACCAACTTTTGATTTAGAGGGTTACGTACGATGATGCTGTGAAAACCAGGCGTGCATGTGCTCTGGATGTATGTGTATATACATAAGTTTGCCAGCGTGGACCCCAGACCGTGTTTCTCGCAAGATATGGTGTATTGACGATGTAGGCCAATCTATGTTTTGCAAGATATGTGGTGCAATCGATGGTTTGCAATCTATGTTTTCAAACTTATATTGTGCAACGTAGCTGTGATGAAAAAGAAAAACCACCCAGAAGCCCCAAGAGGCCCCCAAGAGGCCCCCAGGAAGCCCCAAGAGGCCCACAAGAGGCCCCCACAAGGCCCCCCAGAGGCTCCAAAGAGGCGCTCCAGGGGCACCCAAACTCCACCACACAGGCCCCCGCGAGCGCTAGAGACCCCAGGAAGCATCGCTCAAGTCTCTGACCAACAACCGAGGCACGGTCGCTGGATGGGAAGACGGCCATTCGATCTGTATGTATGTAGGTATGTATGACTGTCTGCATGCATGCATGTATGTGTATGTAGACGTGTATGTGTGTATGTATGTATGTATGTATGTATGTATGTATGTATGAATGAATGAATGTATGTATGTATGTATGTATGTATGTATGTAAACATGTATCAAGATCTATGCATATAGGTATGTTGGAGTGGATGCAAATATGTATGTATGTGTGTAGGCAGGTGGGTAGATAGGTAGGTAGGTTGGTGGGTATGTACGTCTGTATGTGTGTATGTGTGCCTGTGTCTGTCTGCATGCCTGTCTGTCTGTCTATCTGTCTGTTTGTCTATCTGTCTGTGTGTGTCTGTCGGTCGGCCTGTCTGTCTGTCTGTCTGTCTGCCTGTAAGTCTGTGTGTCTGCATGTATCTATATATGTGTATATATATATGTATGTCTGTATGTCTGCATGTATGTATGTATGTATGCATGCATGCATGTACGTATGCATGTATGTGTGTATGTATGTATGTATGTATGTATGTATGTATGTATGTATGTATGTATGTATGTACGCCTGCATGTGTATATGTATGTATGTATGTATGTATGTATGTATGTATGTATGTATGTATGCATGTGTGTGAGTATGTCTGTCTATATGTATGTATGCATGCCCGCATGTATATGTGTATGTATGTATGGATGTGTGTATGCATGGTTTTATGTATGTACATACGTCTACATCTAGGAATGTATGATTTGGTGTTAGCAACGAGCGTACACTATTGGAACATGCAGCTGTTGAACGTTGGTGGTATCATGGTGCTGGTATATGCACAGGCCGCGGCGGCGCGGACAGCGAATCCTGTTCAAAATGAACAGGAACTGCTGTTGGGCATTGTACCCATCCTTTCCGAACCCATGCCGGTCGTCCCGAGGTAAGGCCCCTCCTCCCTCCCGAGTAACACGGCCGGCCCCTCACTCCACCTTCTTGGCCCCTCACCCATCCACCCTGTTCTCCCATAACCTTCTCCTCCTCCTCCTCCTTCCTCGTCGTCGCGGCCCCTCCTCCCCCCGCGCTTTCCTTTCGTCCCTTCCCTCAAAGAGGGCCTCATAGAGGACCCCCAGGGACCCAAGACATAAAACAATTGCTTGATTGAAAATTGCCATATTTGTTACGTGTTCGTCTCTTCAGTTTTCCAGCGCTTGAATGCGGCCCACGAGGCCCGTGTGCGAGGCAGACGAAGTGGGAAGGGCAGTGAGAGATGAGCTGGGGCGCACGGCGCAGCTGATTCAACACGAGGACCCAACTCGCACAAAATAGATGGTTCACCCCGAGGCCTTCCCAAAAGACACCATATCTTCACATGATCCGTCTCTTCGACCATCTTAACTTCACCATGATTCAATGGCCAAGGAGCTGCAACTTAACAAAAAACCTTCAGTACCCGTTTCCCTCAACATCACATCCCTTCATTAAGGAAACGGATAACGACATTAAAATAAGAACTCGGAGGTCCGCGCGGATTTCTAGGAAATCCGCGCGTACCTCAGAGTTGCGATGTTTCTGTCTTTGTTCGTTCCCCTAGACGAGGCTCCTCCTGGGAAGCGGCGGCGGCGGCCACGGCGACGGCGACGTCAGCGGCGACGACGACGACGACGCGTGCTCCTGCTGGGCACCATGGAGCGCCGCGCCCCCGCGCTCGCCCCGCGCGGGCGCCCGCCGCGCCGCGGGCGCCGCCGCCGCTCGGCTGCCATCCACCTCCGCCGCCCCTGCTGGGGGAGCCGCTGGGCGCGGCGGACGCCTCGCGGCCGGTCGTCGCCGCCGTCGGTCGCTGCCGACGTCGCGGCTGGCGTGGCCGCCGCCGTCGCCTTCGGTCGTCACGGCCGTCGTCGTGTTCGCCGCCGCCGCCGCGATCGTCGTCGCCGCCGCTGTCGTCGGCGCTGCCGCCACCGCCGTCGTGGTCGTAGCCGCCGCCGTGGCCGTCGACGCCGCACGGCGCAGCGCAGCCAACCGAGGGTGGGTTGCGGGTGGTTGGGAAGGGAGAACGTAAGAGAGCCGGGGCGGCAGAAGGAAGATGTCCTGCTGCTTTTGTTGCCAATTGTTGCCGCCGTGACCCGATCAACTTTCCAAAAGGTAAACTGACTGAGAACTCGAATGGACTGGTTGCACCCATGTGGAAATTTGCAAGCCAGTTTAATCTCGGCAACCGAGTGCGCAATCTATGGCGCAACCCATGTCAGGCCGTTTCAGCATCGGCACTGGAGTGCGCAGCCTATGGCGCAGCAGACTGCGCAACCCGCGGACGGCACAACCTACCGCGCGACCCATGGCACAACCCAGGATCACGCAACCTCTGGATCGCGCAACCGATGGCGCAACCAACGGATAGCGCGGGCCATGGCATAACGGTGCCACCTATGGAAGGCGCAACCTGTGGCGCAACCCATGGAGGGCGCATCCAATGTACGGCACATGGCGCAACCCATGGTGCAACCCGAGTGGATGGCCGCTGCTAATGGTATGCCACCGAGCTCGCACTGGAGGAGCCAACCCTGGCCAGGCCCGCTTGGGCCCTCGAGCGGAGAGAATATTTCCCCTGGCCCAGGCAGACAAGGTCTGGGCGCCAGTCCAAGGATCAAGTTCCTACTGGGAACCTGGAAGCACATGGCTGGAAGCGGAACGCCCACAAGGCACCCGCTGGATACACATGCGGAGGGCCAGGTGGCCTGGCCATACGAGGGCCTAGCGCTAGAACGACATGCAGCCACATAATCTGGATGGGGTATTTATGAAAAGGGGTGCTTAACCTTCCGACTGAGCTTGCCCAATCCCGGCCCCCTCCATCTTCCTCCCCCTCCGCATCATCCCCCTCTTCCTCCAACCCCCCCTCCACCCGTTCCGACAGCACATGCCTAACCCCCCCAGCGGATTCCAGGGGGGGCGATTATTGTCCCATCCAGAATGATGTGTCCAGCCCTCGCACATGTTCGGCCACGCCTTGTATATATCCAGCCTCATGGAATAAGGCAAAACCATGAGGAGGATGCATTCAGGCGCGGGTACATCGAGAATCTCTGAGATCTAGCGGAACGCTGAGCGCTCCGAAGAGCACTGGAACGGATTTATCCTCGTTCGCGCCCCGTCCGAGGGAACGCAGCACGCGCCTGGCCAGGGCTGACGGTGGTGCATGCGCAATGCAGTCGTTGGTTCCCAGGGCAGGGCGTGCAGGACCGATGCCTCAGACGTCCTTGTTCTCTCTCTCTCTCTCTCTCTCTCGACGCAGGCCCCCATGGTGATATACAACATGTGTTTCTTAGCCTCGGGGCCCGCGAGGGTCGATGGACTTGAGTCCGAGGTGGGGATGTATCCATACCCCCCGCCGGGGAACCGACGTCCGGGGACCCCATGGGGCGGTGGATATGGGTACGCTTCGGCCCCAGGGGCCCCGAAGGCATCCATATCCACCGCCTGCCGAGGTCCCCGAAGATCGATCCACCAGGCGGTGCTCGTGGAAACATTTTCGCCTCGGCCGAGGGGGCCCGCGAGGGTCACTAGTGGAGCAGGGACCGACCGTCCCGGTATCCATGTAGGCCTGCCACAACATGTTCTTAGAGCAAAGCTATGTTCTGAGTGTAAGCTAAGGCTGCCTCAACCAGTCATGCTATGATAGCACTTCGGGCAAACGACTGCATCTTCACAGAACGCTGCTTGGCGGGCATGCTGTGAAAGCCTCCTACATGGAATCCAAGTAGACGTGGTCGGAGGATTGCGCCAGTTCGCCGATACCTCGGCGATGCATAGCCGACGCGTGCAGGCAAGTCAGGACGCTTCGGCACTGCTTGACTTGAGGCCGCCGGGCCTCTGGGATCCGGCCGCCCGCGCCGCCGTGGGCCCGATCGGCGGCAGGTGGTGCTCCGCCGCCTTCTCGGGCGTCGGCGCGCGGCGCCGCGCGTCTGCAGGGGAGGCGCTGGAGGCGCGGGCG